CGCTGCTTGGCGTTACTTGCCATTGCTTGGCCTTGCTTGGCCGTGCTTGGCGTTGCTTGCCACTGCTTGTCGTGGTTAGGCGGTGCTCAGCATTAAGTTACTTGGCGCTGCTTGGCGTTTCGCGGCGTTGCTTTGCGTTGCATGCGAATTGTTGTGCGTTGCTTTGCGGTGCTTGGCAGTCGAGAAAAAAGGCTAACCCGAGGCAGGCAAAAAGGAAACAAGACGAAGCAACCGTTGGAGGCCTGGAAATGGGCACCAACACCAACACCAACACCACACAGGGGGAAGATGATCCTCGATTTCAGTGTTGGTGGTAATATTTCGGCCACCTTGGAAGCCAGAATTGTTACCACCATCACCGAGATCGGGATCTTCTTCCCTCGGTGGAGGCACACCGCCGATATTGATGTTGGTGTCAACCTCTAGGAAATGCAATCAGGAAACAAGGGCAAGCAACCCAAGACATGCAAGACATAAACAAGGCCAAACAACCCGGGGAAGGCGGTAAGGAAACAGGACCACAAGCAAACCCGGGGAAGGCAGCAGGGGAGCAGGACTGCACAGCTCTAGATCAATGCCACGGTACGGGAACACGACCAGGCAGCCCCGAGCATCGCCGGTCGGCGCAGGCCTCGCACCCACCGGCTCTCCGAGCACAGAGAAGAGCCCCTCGGGCAAAGCCCAATCGGGGCAGGAGGGAGCGAGAGAGAGAGAGAGAGATGGGAGGGCAACAGAAATGGCAGGGGCAGCGGAGGGAGGTCCACGACGACGAGGCAGGCGGGAGGGATCGGGAGGACGGAGACGGGACGCGAAGAAGAGGGCGGCGGCGAGGAGGGAGCACGGTGTCTGGAGAAGGAGGGAAGAGGGAAGAGGAGGACGACTACAGGAAGCGACGGCGGACGAAAATGACGACGACGACGACGACGACGACAACGGCGACCCCCCAAATCGATCCCTGGACATGTCCCAGAGCGCCTCCCGACCAGGATTCTGTCACGGCCCCGCCCGCGGCGGCGAGGGCCTTCCGAGAGCCCAGAAAAGCCGACCAAAAAGACGACGACGACGACGACGCTGACGACGGCGACGACGACGACGACGACGACGACGACGACGACGACGACGACGACGACGACGGCGACAACATCGTCCACGACAACGGCGACGACGACAACGACGACGACGACGACGACGGCGACGGCCACGGTGACGACGGCGACGGCGACGGCGACGGCGACGACGACGAAAACGGCGACGATGACGACGACAACGACGACGACGACGGCGACGACGACGACGACGGCGGCGACGACGGCGAAGGCAACGACGGCGCGACGTGCACTGCACCGGCCGGCGGCGTCGTCGTCAGCGACGACGACGACGGCGACGGCAGCGGCAGCGACAACGAACCCGACGGCGACGATCTAGGCCTGCAGAGCGCAGTGGCCGCCGCCGCCACGCGGTCGGCGCTCCCCTCGCAGCGCGCGAGGCCTTCCGAGGCCTGGACGCGCAGGGCCTCGACCTGGGGGTTTTGACTTCAAGTCGTCGCCTTGCCAGATTGCCCTCCTCCTTTTGCTGCTCTTGCTCCTGCTCCTGCTCCTCCTCCTCCTCCTCCTCCTCCTCCTCCTCCTCCTCCTCCTCCTCCTCCTCTCCTCCTCCTCCTCCTCCCCCTCCCCCTCCTCCTCCTCCTCCTCCTCCTCCTCATCTTCCTCCTCCTCCTAGACTCGACATTGCGGGCAGGTTCGATCCTACCCACCGACAGAACGGAAAACACAACAAGGCGGAAACCGACCCCTTTCGACTGAAAGGGGTCGGTTTTAAAAGCCAAGCGAATTACGCTTCCACGCCCTCCACCAGCCGCTCCTCAGCGGTGGCGGCAGCGGCAGCAGCAGCACGGGCGGTGGCAGCAAGGGCGGCGCCGAGCCGCTGCCGCCGCAGGCCTGCTGCAGCATCATCCTCCTGAGACGCTGGCGAGCCTGCGGGCGCGATCGGGCCTGCGGGCGCTGGCGAGACAGGGCCAGCTCCGCCAGCCCTGATGAGACGACCTGTCTCCCAGGCCTGGCGCAAAGGGTGCCAGGCCTTGTTGATCTGATACCTCCCCGCCGCCAGCCCCCTCAACACCCTCCCGCCCCACGAGGAAGGGAGAGGAGGCCCAGGGCAGGGGCGTGAAAGGGCCAGCACCGTGCCTGGCCCACTCGCTCCACACACGGCACAAGCGACGCACCACTGACGTGTGTCGGCAAGCTGGAAAGGATGAACGATGTGTTGCCTGCCGCCCCCGAGCGCAACTCTGGCATGCCCAAGATCGGCAGAGAGCATGCAAGGAGGCGTGATGAGGGGGGGAGGCGGCAGGACGACCAGCGGCGAGGCGCGGGGTTTCGCCTCGCGCCGCTGGGAGACATGAAGGGAGTCGATCGCCACCATGCTGGGCCCAACTTTGGCCACCCAGGTAGCGAGCTCTGACAAGACCTGCGCGCGAGCTTCCAAGGGTGCCCGAACCGAGCTGGGAAGGCGCGAGAATTCGGAGGCCTGCTTCGCATATTCGTCAGCGAGATCATTCCCCGCCTTGTGAAAGGCCGAAACTCGGCCGCTCTCGACGGCAGCACGCGTGGCATGACCCTTGACCTTGACCAGGTCGAAGCCCCCCACTCCTCCCCAGTCCGCAATCTTTTGCCACACCATGCGCCAAAGCTCAGCCCAGGCACTTTTCGCGCAGCAAGTTTTTTCTGGGCCGCGCTCGAGCACACCGTCCACAACGAAGCCAGAGTCGCTGTAAAAAGTTGTGCCTGGCAGCGAGAAGCACAGGCCCTGCAAGAACGCCCAAAGCTCGAGGGCATCAATATCCGCAGCGGGATGCTGAAAAGAGCCAGCAAAGATGGCCACGGCACGATACGAGTCCTGGGAAACCTGAACACAGGACCAGCCGAGGCCCTGCTGGGCCAGCGACAAGAAGCCGTCGCGCAAACTGCCGTCCAGAAAAACATGGCCCTGCAGAAAACCACCCCCGAGAAGCCAGAGCCCTGGAGGCCGAGGAGCGGGGTCCAGGACGGGCAACGGCACTAGGAGCCGCTCGGCTAACAGTCGAGGCAGCTCGTCCACGCATGCCTGCGCAAGCCGGCCTGCGAAGGACGGTGGCGAGGCTCCGCACGCCTCCTCCTGACACTGACATGACAGGTGGCGGTGCGACAGCGTGCCAGGAGCCTCACGACACGCCAAACAAAAAGACTGTTCCGAGAGATTGGCGTCATGCTGGCGCTGCTGAGGCCACTGACCGCCTGAGACGACACTGCGAAGATATGCTGCTCCCTGAGGGCTGACCTTTTTGCTGCGGGCAACCTTCAGGACGGGATACAAAAGGGCCCCTTGGGCAAACTCAGGACACTCCAAGTGGTCAGCCACCCTTTTCCAAATCCACTCCCCCACCAACCGATCGAAGATCGACCCCAGAGTGCGAGGGGAGAGGTCGAGAGGAGAGAAGTCCCCGATCGACGGGTGGTGCCACTGGAGGCCCTGCATGCTGATACCTAGCCTCAACGCTGAGGCTACACACGCACTGAAAGGGCCTCGGATGCTCTGCCATGGGGAGGTGTGTTGCGAAAGCCTACCCCAGGCTTCCTCGACCCCGCTGCGAAGGATGGAGAGAGGCATCCAGGAGTCCCAAACGGCGGAGGCCAGGGCCATCAAGGGGCCCTTGCACAGCTTGTAGGCAGGGTCGACCTTTTCAACATCCGAGAGCTGCAGCATGAGAGAAATGGAGCGCCCGTCGACACGGGCAGACTCGACCTGCGCCTGCTGATGCCGAGCCTCTCGCAGCTCTGTGTTATTAGTGCCTAGGACCTGATGTCCGTAAGACACAGAAGACAGAATAGCAGACTGGACCATGTGGTGCAGTTGCTTACGCTTCAACTGGCGGCCGAACGTGAGCAGCTTACCGTGCCGAGCGCGTGCAGGGGGCATCCTTTCGTGCCTGACTTGGCGTGCAGCTACCCTACCACCGGAGAAATCGATGCCTAGATTGCGCTCGGTGGCGACTCCCTGAATCGTGAGGCGCTTTAGCCGCGCCTGGAGCTTGAGACGCAGATCCACAGACGAGGCCACAAACTTGCTCTTAGATCGCTTAATGCAAAGGTCGACCTTAGCTAACTCGGCGTGCACAAGTTCGGCGGCGCCCGAGAGATTTTTAATTACGTGCTCCTCCCGACCACATAGATGCAGCCCAAAGTCGTCCACCACCACCCCCTTTTCGACGGTCGGGAAGGCACGACTGACGACATCTAACGGCTGAAGCAGAACCAGCTGCAGCATGAGCGTGGCGAAGTGACAACCTGGGATAACGGCCTGCAGCGTGTGTATGAACTCCGACGCTCTGCCATCTAGATCAAGAATGCGGGGAGCACGATAGAGCTGAATTAGAAGTTTCAGCTGACGCAAAGGGAAGTTGGTGGCGATCGCAGCCGCCAGCAGTCTGGCATGCGAAACCTGCTCGAAAGCTTTCTCCAAATCAAGGAGAATTAAACCGCTGGCGAAGCCACGGCCCTGGGCCCACTCAGTCTTCGCAGACTGGATCCAAACCAGTTTATCTGAGCCTCGCCCAGCCGTGGCCCACCAGAAATCACGGAAATTGTCTGTCTGCCAAGCGCGCACGAGAGGCCTGCGGAGACGGCCTTGGACGCGCGCGATACAGTGAAGAAGGCCGATTGGCCTGAGGCCCCCTGTGCGCTTGAGGAGGAAAACGATCTTACTGCACATCTCTGGCCACTCGCAACGGGCCTCGATGGCCAGCGCGAGCTGGATCAAAACCTGAATGGCCTCGTCAGGGAGATGATCGAACTGCCGAGGCGAAACACCGTCGAAACCGCAACCCGAGCGAGCAGGAAACGAGCGAAGCACCTTTCTCATATCCCTGACGGAGGGCTCGGGGAAAAGAGGCCCCAAATCCTCTGGCCACACAAGTGGCTCGTGAGGCTGATCCACCTTCCACCAGCGGCACCATTCAGCAGCAAGCGCATCTATCTCCTGCTGAGGGGATGCGGGGGCAGGGAGCAAGGCCCCATCCTCGTCGAAACACTCCGTCGAGTGCCACGGAGTCCGAGGACGGGTGACGGCAAAAAGAGCCGCGGCCCCGTCGACCGAATGGCCCCGCACCCACTGGCGCCAGCCAGCGCTCTTGGCATTAGCCGCCGTTTTGTGCTCTCGAGCCGCTCTGGCACGGGCCCCAGTTTCAAAAACGCGTGCCAGCTCATACGATAAATCTCTGGCCGAGCCCAGAGCGCACAGCCACGGACGCGCATCGCACAATGCGGAGGCGAAGCGCGCCTCTGCCTCATGCAAGAGCCTGTTACACGTGTTGAGCGCGCGCTGGCGCATCTGAGGCGAGTGCCAGAAGCTCAAGCAGCGAAAAGCGTACGCTACGCGCCTCCACCAGACGGCGAGGGCACTCAGTCGAGGAAAAGGTAGCCGATGGGGAGCACGAGACCGAACTTGATCAAGCTTCAGAGCCAAACCACGCCCGGAATGCGCATCTGCCTGCCGAGGGTCGATCTGGTAGATGTCGAGAAACTGCTGCTCGACCAGACCGATGAAAGACGTCCACATACCATGCACTGGTACGTCAGGGCGCGGTACTGCTTCCTGAAACTGCTGCCAGCGCTGCTGCCAATCTTGCCTTTCACATCCGAGAGGCCGAACCTGTGGGAAGCGACGTGGTGCCAGGACGCGAGACACCATAGCCTCGCCACGTGAGGCTTTGAGCTGCAACAGGACTGGCTTGTGCGGCTCCGTGGCAACAGAGGGCAAGATGCGTATTTCATGGCCGTGTTGAAGCGAGTGATGAACCACGAAGTAGTCGAGACACTTACCTCCTCCAGCATTCGAACAAGTGGGAAGCGACGGGGCCAGGATCACTGCGTCCAAGCTCTCAACCCACTTAGAGCCTCTCAATATCTCTGGAACAATATTCCAATCACCTTGAATGACGAAGGGCATATTGAACTCCTTTACCAAGTTGCGTATATTGCATAGAATGGACCAGTTCGCCGCTGCCAATCCAATACTGTGATGCAGATACACGCCAATCCATAGAAAGCCGCCCGCACACAAGCCGCCGCAGTGAAGCACCACAACCCGACCTGGCGCGAGATCTGCTGGAGTGACCTCCAGCTCGCTGAGACCATGGGCCGCCGTCATCATGGCAACCCCACCTGAAGTGCCCTTGTCAGATTTTTGCACAGCTGAGCCAACTCGCGCATGCCAACCTGCGCGCCGAAGACGATGCTCAAGCGCTGTACCGTCTAGCTGATGATGTTCCTGAACGCAAACTGCACTGGCCTGACGAACCTCGGAATCAGCTAAGAGCTCATCCAAACCCGCCAGCCCCGTAACGTTGGACGTGACGATGGTGAAGCTAAAGATTGGACTCATCAGGGGGGTAGAGCGAGCCTGCTTCGCGAGCCGCTCCTTAGCCTCATTGAAGATGCTGGTGGCCAGCTCGTGCTTGATGCCGTGCTTGCTCTCCAGCTCAGTGATGAAGGAGTTGTCGCCGAGCAGGCTGTCGAGCTCCATGTCGAGCGGCACGGCATGGTTGAGCCCGCCAGCAGCAGCTGCACCCCCGCCTGCGGTGCCTCCACCATCGGCGCCGCTGGCAGCAGCGGCGCGCTCAGCAGGAGGCTGAGCGGGCTCAGCAGCGGGTGCAGCAGCAGGAGGAGAACCATAGCCGAGGTCTTTAGCCATGTCCTCCAGCTGCTTGATGAGCTTGTCGTACTTCTCCTTGTCAGGGCCGCCCTCGGCGGGTGGGCCAGAGCCGCGGATGCCCTGCGCCCAGGCGTGGAAGGCGGCCTCGCCCTCGGACGGCTGGGCGGGCGCGAGGCTGCTGAAGGCCTTGGCAGCCTTGGCGGCCGCCTCGTCGGCAGCAGCCTGAGCAGACTCCATCTCCGCCTTGGCCTGGGCAGTGGCCTGCATGGCCTGGGCGAGCGAGTTCTGCGCCCGCTCGTACTTGGACTTGGCCTTCTCGAGCTTCTGCTGGAAGACGTCCTGCTGGATGCGCGCCTGCTTGGCGCACTCCCGCGGCTCGCCCTGCAGCATGGCGCGCGCCGCGCGCGCGCGCCCCACCACGCGCGGATGCCAGCCGTCAGAGATGGCATCGAAGTCGCGCGGCGCCATCCCAGCGAAGACCTCGATCTGGTCATCACTGGGGTGGGTGGGTCCATGGTACCGCGGCCCGTTGATCTGGGGCGGCCGCTGCCATGAGCCTCGCGGCGGCGGAGGGTCGGCGACGACTGGCTTCTTCGGTGCCTGGCCGCACATGCGACACGACGTGCGCCACGCATAGTTAAACTGGTAGCCACACTGCTTGGAGCGAGGACAAGCCCAGAAATTAATCTGGCCCACTGGCCCAGTAAGAGGTAAGTGAAAGCGAGGCAGTGCAGGCGAGAAACGCGGTGCAGTACCTGACTCTGGTGCGCGAGCGGGGGCCGCAACAATCCCCCACGCCAAAATGCCAAGGTC